TTTTCTTGTTTTGAGTTAACCCATGTTAAGATATATTGAAGCTTGCCGAGCTCATTGTGACAGGTCTCCTTGGTTGTTCTGTCCTTCTGGAGTTTCCATTTTGCAAGTCTATGTGCATTTGGGTTACTCGCTTATGTCGGGTTCATCGTATATGCGTTTCCTTCATTATTCCAATTGCATCGATTGAATGGGCTGCTGCTTGTGTTCATTCTCTTCTGGGCTATTAGCACATATATTTTCAATGTAGCATTCACATTTTTGAATCGGAAGATTGGAAAGGTATTATTGAATTTACAAAATATCGATTTTTTCATTACGACACAGACATCAATGGTAGTCTTTCTTGGTTATATCTGCAGGACATGGATGTTTGGGAGATGGTGGGTTTGTGGCATTATCCAATACCAGGATTCTTTCTGCTTGCACAATTTTGTCTTGGAATTTTGGTTGCCTTGGTCAATCTTGTAAACAACTCGGTTTTCCTTTGTGTGTCCGATGAGGATGAGCGTTCTTCAAATGACAACTGCAGTGCTAGAGGTAATTAGTAATTGATTGATTGTTGGGATTTGGCTGGTTTCTTTAATTCTTTTGTATGGAGCTTTTATTTTAAAGCTTTTAGGCTGATTGGTTAGTTAAGTTTTATGACCAATTGGCTGCCTTGTTAGGTTGCTAGGGAATTAGTCGTGTCTCTTTTACCACAAAATGGGTCTTTGCCGTTGAGACAATTTCCCCTTTCCTTGGTCCTGCCTACGAGTAGTATGACAATCTCAGGTCCGGGTCCATATCAAGTTGGAAACAAATGCAAAGGGCTTAGGCAAGCACTCGGGTCTGCTGATCTGCTTAAGAAAGAAAATCGAACTAAAATGCCTTCAAGCTCCCTTCGCCAAACAAAAAAAAAAGGCCGATAAAAAGACCTCCGAGTTTTTGGAAAGTGGTTCATTTAGGCCAAACAAAGAACATTCTTCTCCTTTGTCTTTTAGCTTTTTTGCACTCTCTTTAAATGAAAAGGACTCGACTTGGATTTTTGGATGACTGACTGCAGCAATTGGAAAGAAAACGACTCTGTCTGATTCAGCTGGTTCGCTTGATTTGTGCTAAAGAAACAAATTTTTTTCCTTGTTTGATTTTGGGAAGAGACAAATATGTCAGTTTCGGGGCGGGACGGGGGAATAATCCTAGACAAGCCATTGGTTCCACAAGACTTTTAAATCTCAGATATTTAATATCCATACCTATGTGACAATATTTGCGACCCAAGTAGGCCTTATATAGTTTTCCATTTTTTATTGGATAAGTTTGGTTATTTTCTTTGTCAGATAGTTGGCTAATTGACTATGCAGAAGCTTCTTGTGAATAGGTGCTGTATATAAATACAATTTTTTGGTAAATATAAACTTTTAAACATTCTTGGAGGAGTGTGATTCTTGGTTACATAGTTCATTTGTCCTGTATTCTTTATCACCTTAGAAATATTGATTATCTTACTCTGAAGTTTATTCGTATTGTTTGATTCCTTGATAGCGGTAGAATCGGGTCCTTTACACTATTTAATTTTCAGAGGCAGGAGAGACCAAGGTTTTAATTGTGGCAACTATTGCATGGGGTTTGCGCAAAAGCTCTCGAGCGATCGTGCTAACTTTGATATTCCTGGTTGCAATGAAGCCCGGTTTCATCCATGCTGTGTATGGTATGTTTTTATATGCTAATTAATAAGTACAGTGGAAACTTACGTTATTTTTGGTTGATTCTTATGACATGAAAGCTACAAGTTATGATCTTAAGTTCCTCGATTTTCTTATTGATTCTATCTTTCAATGTTTTCAGTGGTATTCTTCCTCCTATACCTTTTGAGCCACGAAGTTAGCAGAAAGATGCGCCAGTCTTTGATTCTTCTAAATGAGATTCATTTTGCATTGTTATATCTTCTTCAGATCAACTTGATCTCGAATGTGTTAGATCGGGAAGGTTCTTTGTGTAGGGAAATTCTGTTGCAACTAGGTAATGTGTGCTTTCGTTCGAGGATATTATGTTATGATTTTAAAAATGGATGTTCTTTTAGGAGGTTTGCTTATTTCATTTTATCATTTTATCACTGGTTCGGTGCAGGTCTCCTTGGACGTGATAGCATGTGGGAGTTCCTGGAAATAGCTATGCTTGCTGGCTTTTGTACAATTCATAACCATGGTTTTGAAATGCTATTTTCTTTTTCTGCCATTGTGCAGCACACACCTAGTCCCCCAGTTGGATTTAGCATTTTACGAGCTGGCCTTAATAAATCAGTTCTACTCTCAGTTTATACGGGCACGACGAATAATTATTGCCATGATAATCCTTCACATGGTATTACTATCAAAACTCGTCATTGATTATATTGCTCTCCTATTTGAGCCCTGATACATTCGAGAAACATTTACAAACTTGATTGTTGGTTTGAGCTTTTTTGGTTGAATCAAATTGATGCTTGATCATCTAGCCATGACAGCTTTATTCTTTTGATGATTATGGATATGCACAAAGGTCAAGATCCAAAAACTTTGATCTAGTGTTAGGTTCTTTATCAATTTGGATGCAACTTTTATATGTATTAGCAATCGTTTCGTTTATAGGAGCTACAGATTTATTCGGTTTATATGTTTTATCGTTTGAATCAACACTTTTGGTGGTTCGTTAGCTCCGTATCCATTTGCCACTGCATCATTCATATCGCTCATTTATTTTGTTTCTCTGCAGAGAGAAAGATTGCATCATTCCTGAGTTCCATTGGAGAGAAGTTCCTATCGATGTACAGATCATGTGGAACCTATATTGCATTTCTGACTATTCTTCTCACGGTTTTCTTTGTCAAACCAAATTATATATCCTTTGGTTACTTATTCCTTCTTCTTGTTTGGATGATTGGAAGGCAACTGGTTGAAAGAGCAAAGAGGCGACTATGGTTCCCATTGAAAGCCTATGCAATTATAGTGTTTATCTTCATATATTGCTTAAGCAGCTTCCCCAGCTTTAGGATATGGTTATCCAGATCAATTGATCTTTATTTCTTTTTGGGATACAACTCAGAGGCTTCATCTTTGCAAAATTGTTGGCAGTCTTTGGCTGTGTTGATTGTGATGCAGCTTTACAGCTATGAGAGACGACAGAGCAGATATAATAGCTCTGATGAACCCGAGCCTTTAGAATACGGGCGACTCGGGTTTGTAAAACGCTTCCTTAGTTGGCACAGTGACAAGATTCTGTTTGCTTCTCTTTTCTATGCATCGATATCACCGATCAGTGCATTTGGATTGTTATATCTTCTCGGCCTCGGTGTATGTTCCACTTTACCCAAGATTTCTCATATCCCATCAAAGCTGTTTCTGGCATATACAGGAGTTATCATGACAGCTGAATACCTTTTCCAGATGTGGGGTAAGCAAGCTGGTATGTTTCCTGGACAAAAACATTCAAATTTGTCTTATTTTCTGGGTTTTAGAGTTTTTGAGCCTGGATTTTGGGGTCTGGAATTAGGCTTAAGGGGAAAAGTACTGATAATTGCTGCATGCACCCTCCAATATAATGTCTTTCGCTGGTTGGAGCGGGTGCCGGGTTCTGTTCTAAATAAAGGGAAATGGGATGACCCTTGTCCATTATTTGTCTCAGATGAAGATGATTTCGACATATCGATCTCTCATGAGAAAAATAACCCATCATTAGATGCTGGAAGGTTGTTTGTACAACAGGAAGGTTCGGATCATATTTTAAGGCCTTCCTTCGTCTCGAGTCAGTCTCAAGTGCCTCATTCTGCATCGAGTAAACGAGACAACTCCGAATGTAGCAGCACTAATAAATATTCGTTCGGATTTACTTGGGGAAGCACCAAAGAATGTCACAAGTGGGACAAAATGCGAATTATATACTGGAGAAAGGAAAGATTTGAAATGCAGAAGATTATTTTCAAGATATATATGAAATTTTGGATGGAGAATTTGTTCCATCTCTTTGGTCTTGAGATAACCATGATCTCCTTGCTTCTTGCTAGTTTTGCTGTATTAAATTCTGTCTCCCTGTTCTACGTCGGATTGTTGGCTGCCTGCATTCTTTTGGATCGGGGCATTATACGTAAACTATGGCCTATATTTGTGTTCTTGTTTGCTTCCATTCTTATCCTTGAATATATTGCCTTCTGGATGAACATGTGGAATTCAGATTGGAATATGCCAAGCAAGGCTGGTGTTCATTGTCATGACTGCTGGCGAATCTCGAATCTGTACTTCCAGTTTTGTTTGAACTGTTGGCTTGGTAAAAATCTTAAAACTCTTGATACTTCGTAGTTTCGCTTCTTATTTTGGCGTGTTAATGTCTGTGTTACCTGATATGCAGGACTGACTGTCGACGATTCAAGGATGCTTTTCAGTTATTTTGTGGTATTCATGCTTTCGTCTCTCAAACTCCGTGCTGATCATTTATCCGGTTTCTCGCTATCCTCTACGTATCGTAAAATGGTGTCTCACCGTAAAAATACATTCGTTTGGAGGGATCTATCTTTTGAAACAAAAAGCATGTGGACCATCCTTGATTACCTGAGGCTCTATTGCTATTGTCATTTGTTGGATCTTGTCCTGGCTTTGATTTTGATTACTGGAACTCTTGAATATGATGTACTACATCTTGGTTATCTTGCCTTTGCACTGGTTTTCTTTAGATTAAGACTTGAAATTCTGAAGAAGAAGAACAAAGTATTCAAGTTCTTGCGTGCATACAACTTCGCTCTTATTATTCTTTCTCTAGCTTACCAATCTCCACTTGTAGGAGAAGTTAGTGCTGGAAAGTGTGAAACCATGCATTACATATTTGAAATGATTGGATTTTACAAGTATGATTATGGATTTCGAATTACTGCAAGATCTGCTCTTGTTGAAATTATTATCTTCATGTTGGTCTCTCTTCAATCATACATGTTCTCCTTGCAAGAGTTTGAATACGTATGCCGGTACCTTGAAGCCGAGCAAATCGGTGCGATTGTCCACGAGCAGGAAAAGAAAGCAGCTTGGAAAACTGAACAGTTACAGCATATCCGTGATTCGGAGGAAAGCAAACGGAAACGCAACCTGCAAGTCGAGAAAATGAAATCAGAGATGCTGAATTTTCAAATTCAGCTTCATAACATGAACTCATCTTTTGATGGCAATAATGCTTCTTCGCCAATTCCAGGAAATGAATTCCTTAGAAAACAAAGTACTTCTAGGATGGATGATGATGCTATGACCTCTGATATAGAAGGAACACTACTTGGGAAGGTAGAACAGATGATTAGAACAGATTCTTCTCCCTTTCCTGAATTGCAGGAATCTCTTGCTAATCTAAGAACAGAGTCAAGAATGCACTCAATGGAATTTTCAGTTCCAGAAATTTGTGAGATTGATTCTCAAATTTCAGATATATCTTTGGATTTGGATCGAAAAAGGAAACACAGAAGCTCAGCAAAAGGAAACCCCTTAATGTCTGCTGTACAGTTTATAGGTGATGGTGTTTCCCAAGTACAATCTATTGGAAATCAAGCTGTTAGCAATCTTGCAAGCTTCTTAAATGTCACACAAGACGATGACATGATTGAACAGGGCAATACCGAGGATCGGGTTTACGATCAGATTGAGAGCCAGGAAACTAGGTACACACATTTCGAGCGTTCTTCCTCGCTGCAGTCTGATAAGAGTTCTGATCCTGCAACTATGCAGTTGGGAAGGATTTTTCGTCACGTATGGTCCCAAATGCGGTCCAACAACGACGTCGTTTGCTATTGCTGCTTTATCCTCGTCTTTTTATGGAACTTTAGTTTACTTTCCATGGTTTACCTTGCAGCTCTCTTTGTCTACGCCCTGTGTGTAAACACCGGTCCGGGTTATATGTTTTGGGTCATCATGCTTATTTACACAGAATTGTACATACTGCTACAGTATCTGTACCAGATAATCATCCAGCATTGTGGGTTGACTATTAATTCGGATTTACTACAAGAACTTGGATTTCCTACACATAGAATTACTTCATCCTTTGTTATCAGTTCATTGCCTCTGTTCCTGGTCTACTTGTTTACTCTATTGCAAAGCTCTATAACTGCTAAAGATGGTGAGTGGACATATTCTAATGCCTTCAACAAAAATGCTCTCCCCAGAAAACACAGTCTTGGACATTATGGTTTGACTGAAAAGGCATATGAACTCCTACACTTGGGGGAAAAAATGATGATGTTTGTACTCAGGAGTTTGTGCAAGTACTGGAAGTCACTGACTAAAGGAGCAGAATCTCCACCTTACTTTATCCAGGTTTCTATAGATGTCCAAGTATGGCCAGAATACGGGATTCAGCCCGAGAGGATCGAGTCGGGAATAAATCAGATGCTTCAAATTATCCATGATGGGAGGTGTAAGGAGCAGAACCCTCGACCATGTCCGTTTTCTAGTAGAGTTCATGTCCAGAGCATTGAAAGAAGTAAAGAAAATGCAAAGATGGCCTTGGTTGTTCTAGAGGTAGTATATTCTTCTCCTTCAACTGATACTTGTGCAGAATGGTACGACTCTCTTACTCCTGCAGCTGATGTAACGAACGAGATTCGGCTTGCACAACACAAAGGACTTGTTGAAAATACTGGATTCCCATATCAAATCCTCTCCGTGATCGGCGGAGGAAAAAGGGAAATCGATCTATATGCGTATGTCTTTGGTGCAGATTTGATAGTGTTCTTCTTTGTCGCGATTTTCTACCAATCTGTCATCAAAAACAATACTGAGTTTCTTGATGTATATCAACTAGAGGATCAGTTCCCAAAAGAGTTTGTGTTCATCTTGATGGTAAGTTGTCTATCTATTACATATCATCAAATTTAAGGTTCGTGTTCATCTGCTACTCTTAGCTAAATATACTCTGTGCCTCAGATAATATTCTTCTTGATCGTGCTGGATCGATGTATTTACCTCTGCTCATTCGCCATCGGTAAAGTGATCTTTTACCTTTTCAATCTCGTTCTCTTTACTTACGCGGTAACGAAGTATGCATGGCAAATGGAGCCTTCCAATCAGCACGCAGGAGAGTTGGCACTCCGTGCTATATTTCTTGCGAAGGCAGTTTCTTTAGCACTGCAAGCGATACAAATTCGATACGGTCTCCCACACAAAAGCACCTTGTATCGACAATTTTTGACAAGTGAAGTTTCAAGAATCAACTATTTAGGGTACAGGCTTTACCGGGCTCTTCCCTTCTTATATGAATTACGATGTGTGCTGGACTGGTCGTGCACGACAACGTCTCTGACCATGTACGACTGGCTAAAGGTGATTATTTCATTGTTCTAACCATTTGGATGTAGGCTCAACATAGTTTTGTGTGCTCTAAAATGTTGAGTTAATATACCATATGAATTTCTTGTCTCAGCTGGAGGACATAAATGCAAGCTTGTACCTTGTCAAATGTGATGCAGTATTGAATAGATCTCAGCACAAACAAGGAGCTAAGCAAACTGTTATGACCAAATGTTGCAATGGAATATGCTTGTTCTTCATATTAATCTGTGTTATCTGGGCCCCAATGCTGGTAATGGTTTCATTTTTAGCTTTGTTTCTTCCCGATTTATCAAATTTCTTAAGGAAACGCTTGAATTTCTAGTCAAAACTTCCTGGTCCCAAATTGTGGCCCATTTACGCCTATCGTGCGGGTCAAAACTTACCCAACAAGGAATTTTGCTATCTTAAGACCGTTATAGTTACGGCCGCCATTCACTAGGACTTTGGTCGCCGGCTTCTTTCCTACTTCCAATTTATTCAATTCTATTGGTTCAAATCGGACGGGACAATTTTGATTTAGCTCAAAGTTGAAACTTTTTTTTTTTTTTTTTTTTTTTTTTTTTTTTTTTTTTGTTGCAGATGTATAGTAGTGGGAACCCAACAAATGTTGCAAACCCAATCAAGGATGCCAGTTGCCAAGTGGATATCAAGACATCTTCAGGAAGATTGACACTCTACCAGACTACTCTTTGTGAAAAGATCAAATGGGAGAAGTTGAATGCTAATATGGTTCTTGACCCTGGAGGCTATCTTAGTCCATATAATAGGGATGATATTCAGTTAATTTGTTGTCAAGCTGATGCTAGTGTCCTGTGGCTTGTCCCTGGTGTGGTTCAGTCCAGATTCATTCATTCCCTTGACTGGAACCAAGATATAAGCATTGCTTTCACTTGGCTACTCACCAGAGACAGACCAAAAGGGAAGGAAGTTGTAAGATATGACCGACTCGTTCATCCTCGAGATCTTCCTAATCAATCTGATATCCAGAAAGTTCTCAATGGCTCGATGAATAGCTTTCAGATAAAAAATGTTTACGAGAGATACTTTCGTGTCACAGGCTCTGGTGATGTTAGACCTCTGGAACAAGAGGTACTCCTTACACCCTTTAGCTGATACTTTGTCGTTAAGATTGGTTAAAGTATTGATATAATTAAAATTTTAACGTAACTCGTTAACTTAAACTTTTGGATTCATGGGTGATGATATCATAGTTTTATTTCCACTGTCTTCATTGGCATATTGTTTAGCTTGATATTTTTAAAAATAATTGAGGTATTTTTGTGCCATCTGAGTATCACTAATCTAATAAAACTATTTTTCAAAAAAATATCCAATCAGGTATCCATTGTTATAGGGAAAGGAAAATTAATTACAGGATCTAACTGAAACTATTTCACAAGACAACTTTTGGGGGATGCATCGTACGCGTACAAAACTTGGTGGCTACTTTATAATGCTTAGGGGTTAGATTGTGCGCCTAAAAAAATTAGGGACTAATGACAGGACCGAATTTGTGACAGCTCAAGTCTACCACTAGCGGATATTGTCCGATTTAGCTTGGTACATATCGCCGTCAGCCTCAAAGTTTTAAAACGCGTCTACTAGGGAGAGGTTTCCACACTCTTATAAGAAATGTTTCGTTCCACTCTCCAACCGATGTGGGATCTCATAATCCACCCCCTTGGGGTCCAGTCTCCTTATTGGCACCTTGCTTGGTGTCTGGCTTTGATACCATTTGTAAACAGCCCAAACCCACCACTAGTAGATATTGTCTGTTTTAGCCTGTTACGTATCGCTGTCAACCTTACGATTTTAAAACGCGTCTACTAGGGAGAGGTTTCCACACTCTTATAAGAAATGTTTCATTCCCCTCTCTAACGAGATGAAAAACTAATTGCATGTTTGAAAACTCATGAACCAAATGACAGCAATGAAAATTCATGGTGCAGTTACCTGATTGAGATTTTCAGGATCTGGGGTCATTGTTCTTCATCTACTGAGGCGGTAGCAACTGATATCATTTCTATGTTTGTATGAATTTTTATTCAAACAACTGACCCGATGATCATTTACAGGACAATTTTGTCAGCGCTGATCTCATCTTGAACCGTGAAAATTACGATTGGTGGTCCTTCCACGACATCCAGCCAATAAATGTCAGCAAATGTGGACATTTCACTGGACCAGTAGCCATTGTAATCTCTGAGGAAATACCACCTCGTGAGTCTTATGAAAAATAATATGACAAAGATGATTAATAGAACAGAAGTTTCAAAATCATATTACTAAGCTTAACCTTTCTTGCAGAGGGCATTCTGGGGGACACTCTCAGCAAGTTCAGCATCTGGGGTCTTTACATAACCTTTGTTCTAGCAGTTGGCCGTTTTATAAGACTTCAATGCTCTGACTTGAGAATGAGAATTCCCTATGAGAATCTACCTTCTTGTGATAGGTAATGTAACAAAATTCACTTTTGCAATCTTTCTCTGCTTTTGATATTCGTTCGAACAACAAAAACATAAGTTTAGAGACATTACAATCCAGCCCTCAAAGAAAGTTCAAGTGCTTTTACTATATTTTATGAGGTCAACTACCTCTTCTAACATGAACTAATTGTGTGTTGAAACGTTATTATAGGTTGATTGCTATTTGTGAAGACATATATGCTGCTAGAGCTGAGGGAGAGCTTGGAGTTGAAGAGGTATTATACTGGACACTCGTGAAAATTTACAGGTCCCCTCACATGCTGCTTGAATACACAAAGATAGATTAGACTGCAAAGTTTAAACAAACATTTATCAGAATTAAGAAAACACAGAGCCTAGATACAAATACCTGCACGACTAACGCCAGTTTAGTGAAAGCCAACCTCGTTCGTGATTGGTGTGTTCTTGAGAAGATGGTATGGTTCCGTAGGATCTGTTGAATACTATGTGAAAATCAATTGTGGGTTATTCAAGAACATTCATATTTGTAGATGATCTGGTTGGGAGTGTACTGCAGAAGTTTTAGCTTCAATAGCAGAGGGAACAGGCTTTCTTACTAATTCTGCAAGTAAATCTGCCAAGAGGTTTGTTTGTTGACTTTACTCTAATTAAAAGAGCCAGTTTCTCAGTTGCTGCACTGTTCATTATTTTAGAATCTATTACTTTCATTAATGTTCAATCACATAGCAGTACAAAATTTTCTTTTGCATCATAATATCAGGAAGTTTCCAATCTATCAGCAAAGCTTTTAAGTGGAGCACTTGCAGAACCTCCTCTAAGAGCACTTTTAATTGATTTTTGTCGTAGTTTAACACAAAATTCATATGAATGATCTTCAAAGAAAAGGCCACAAACTGTTTTTTTCTTTGTTTTTTCTTTTGTTGATAGGATTCAAGCAATCATAATTTAAAAGAAAACTCAATTTCATTGCATTTAGTAAGTTTTTGGAGATTTTACATGACTTTTTGCTAAAATTGGTGCATGAACTAGAGAATCAAAGTAGATAGTACAAACAATCTTTATCTAAGTTCAGTTGAAATCAATAAAATTTAAGGTTTATACTGATACCACTCGCCATGTTGGGAATAAAAATGGATTATTTTGTCCAAAGTCGTAACTTATTAGTCGTATCAAACTCACTCAAAGTCCAAGAATATTCAGTGTTATCAAACAAGGCCATATTATACAATACACAACAATTGTCTTCGTAAGCTAACATGAAAATGGTACAATAGTAGCACCTGAAAGACAAGTCAAAATAGAACCATTCACATGGGTTAAGAACAGCAGCAGAATGCTGCAAGGAGCCCAAGTGATTTTCAGTCAGTATGGGCAAATTCATCCTTTGTTTTCTTAATTCTTTTAGCACTGCTGCTATCTAAGCCCTCTTTCAAGATACTTTCAGGAACAGTTTCTTCCATTAATCTTGGGATTGTAAAACTGAAGTCTGTAAGAGGTACATCCTTGTGTCGTGGATTTGCTCCTAGAAAGGCTTGCATCTCTGTAGGGGATCTCACTGTCTTCCCTGTGGGTGTAACATAGTAAGCATCAAATTTAGAGAAATTCTTTCTGACCACCAAATGTCTCGTGAAACCTTCTGGGGTCTTTGGGATGTTAGGTTTGTCAATGCCCCAAGTTCGAGTTGCATCGTACTCAATATCGGGAGGATCCTTGCAAGAAGTATCGGTTTTCCTATGGCATGTAAAGGGTTCTTCTATCAGCTTGCTTCTAATATCCTCGTACTCTTCTTGGGTACTTATCAACCTCCATTTAAAGCATTCCTCACATTGCGCAGCATACAAACCTACTGGCAGCCGTGTCGACTGTAAAGAGAAACCAATAGCACCTTAGCCTACACCAAAAGAGGCCTCCAATACTTAACATGGATTTCTTATTTATAGATGCAACAACAAATGAAGATCCCCCAATTTGTAAGAGTTCACTATTGATATTTGATCACTAAAACCTGAAACTTAGAAAATTCAACAGTGCTCACATAAAAGGACTCAGGTTTCGTGACCAATGCTCACATAAAAGCATTAAATCTCTAACTTCTACTTAACTTCAAGAAGTGGGAATACTGTCCACCATCAGAGAGTGGGCATCTCAAATATATGACTTCACATAACCCTTTGGCTTTGTTAGAATATAGTGAATCTTATGAAAAATTTGAGTTCATGGGAATTGGCAAGATTCACTATATTCTAAGTTCAAACAGAAAAGACCATATGCAAAGCGTACACTGAAAAACTAACTGAAAAAAATTGGGTGTCCTGGAACAGCCGACTCTGAATATCAAAATGACTCTCCTTACAGCCATTGCCAACAAACACTTTGACTCACTTCCTCGTTGATGAATTTCAGTAAGATTGTGTTTGAATTGCTGCTTATTGATCTAAAAGAGAACTAATTCTCACAAACTTAGAGATGGACCTATAGACTAAAACCAAGTTCTGCTAAACAGCCTGTTTCCATAGTTAAGCAAATCTCAAGTAATCATCTCCCCAATTAGGTCATAGATTCAAATCTCCTATTTTCGAGAAATTAATGGAGACTTCTGCAGAGTGACAGTTTTGCACCATTGGTTATAGTAAGAAACTACAATAGTACTTCAAATTTAGCAGCAGCCACATTCAATAATCTTTCCCTAGTAACAGTGAAACATTCTAAACAAAACTCCATGTTCCGTTGTATTCCTTAGACGAGGAAAATAAAGGCGTAACCAGCAGCTCCAAGCAGCATCGATTTTATTTCGCCCATTTTCTAGTTTCCTACTTCCAATTTGGATCTACAGAATCTAAGGGTTAAAATTTCCGAGAAGCCAAAGGACAGATAATTGAATCCGATCAGAAGGGAAATTATGAAGGATATACAGAACAAATCGGAGGAACAGGAAAGTTTTCCGCCGTACCTTCATCGGCGTTCTTGTAGGTCTGGCAGCGGCCATGTCACCCGACGATTCTCTCTCTGCCTCTGTGGCGTGATCTTCGATCTTCTCCAAGTGGAATTTTAGCACTCAGAAAAATTTCAGCAACAAATTGTTTTTGTTAATTAATTTTCCCGGGAAGAACCCAAATTCTTCGAATTTTGTGTATAATAAACAAAAAAGAAAATGACCTAATTATAAAATTCTAAAAAAAATTAACCCATTTAATAGATATAACATCTAATTTCTTTTTTTTTTTCTTTTTTTTTTTTTTTTTTTTTTTTTTTTTGCAAATTTTAAAAATTGGACCAAAATACATAAAAACACTTAAAAGGGTTTTTATTTAATTAAAAAAAATAACCGTTTATTTATGTACGAATAGATTTCATTACAGATAAATATTTAAAATAATATCTAGTAAGTGATGCATTGAATATTTAAAGTATTAATGAAAAATTAATAAAGATGATTAAAATAAATGTTTATGCGAAGTTTATTAATTAAAATAAAATATCTAAAAATCTGGAAAATAAAATTAAAGTTGAAAAAGTTAAAATATATTATTAAAAAAATTAGAGACTAAAATAGGTTTTAAAGTAAGGATAAACAAATCATTTTATCTTTGTATCAGTAGATTTGTGGACAAGTATAATCAATTAATTCAAATGTTAACTATTTATTAAATTCTATTAATATTCGAATTTCAAACATCAAAGTCGATATGTCCGAGTGTAAGGAGACAGTTCGCCTGCGCAGGTTCGAGCCCTGCTGTCGACGCTTTTATCCATTTTTTCATTTTTTTTTTTTTTTTCATTTTCAATCCAAATATAATACATTTCTAACTTAAATAGGAATGAAAGTGAAAATAGTTAATTAAATTGTTTAAATCAAGTTACCCACTCGGTTGAAGTTTTTTTTTTTTTCCCTTAATTTATTGTCAAAATTGGATGTAAAATTGCAGGAATGGATTAAAATGGGAAATTTTCTTAAAAATAAATTTATATTTTTCAAAATAAAAGATAACAAAATATTTTTTACCAATAGGAACATAGGCTGTGATCCATACGTCTAAATTTAGCTTAAATTAAAAATTCAATTATAATAAAGAAAAAGTAAAAATGAAATTGTAAAATGGGAATAGGATTTAGATAATAACCGACAAATTTAATCACAAGTAATCAACATTTGAACTGCAAAGATATTTAGCAGCGAACAAATATATTGAGAGCCAAGCTATTTAACATTTAAACTGCAATTTGTAGGAGTTACCCAAAAAGGGCACCCCTCCAAAAATAGGCGTATGCCGCTATGAGCGGCGAGCACACGGTATTCTTTAGTAAAAGGCGAAAGAATAGTTCGCTCTGTGCTCACCGCACGGCTCCGTACCCTTCTTTCAAGCTTGGACGCTCATTTTATAGGTGTTTGTCATTTGCGCAACTCAGCGACTTCCGATGTGGGACAATCGCTATTTTATCTCCACCAAGTTCCCTTCCACGGCTTATAAAAACAATAAACCAAGGCGATGTATTCCCATACAACTTTACAAATAATTTATTATTATTTTCTTTTTTCTTATTACACAACTCAATTATATTTCAATTATCATTATCACTTTTAATTAAAAAATTATCATAAAAAATTTACTTCTTAAATATTATCTATTTAGTCCTTAAATATCAAATAAAAATAATAATTATTTACCAATGTTAGGTTAAATTTTATGTTTTAATCTAAACCTTCAATTTTGTGGTTAAAATAGGTCTGTCAATTTTTTAAAGCATAAATCTATTATACACAAATTACAAAACTAAAAGTTTAGGCGGTTAATTTTAAGATTATGCTATTTAAATCTCGATATTTATAAAGTGTCAAAACTCCAATTTTCAAATTTACATTAAATAAATTCTTCAAGTTTGAAGGTTTTTTTCGACTTTCAAAATTATATCTAATAAGTCGATTAATTTTAATTTTTTCAATAGGTCAACAACCGTCTATTAGACACAATTTAAAATTTATAAATGAACAACGTTACTCGGAAAAAAAAACCGAAAGGAAACGAACATCGATACAAACACTACCCATTTCAAACCAATGCTCTCTTATATGTTAATGAGAGAATTTAACCCGAAAAACCATTTTTATTATTTGATGGACTGACTGTTTCTCGAAGATATTACTTCTAATTATGTCATTTAATGATATCGGCCTCTCTCACGTATGGTTAGAACTTCGTATGAGTTTGTATTCTATTGAGAGGTTCACTAGAATCCGCGTGTTATGAGATATGGGGCGTTCTAATCGAATGGTCATACTTCTCGACCTTATTATTGTAAGGTCAATGCACCAAGCAGCTGGTGTGGGGTGAACACCTCTCGAGGAATAAAAATTACGATATTATTAAAAAAAAAGTTTGAAAATAAATTAATTTAACTATTATTTTCATTTTTATAGAAAGAGCGAGAAATGCCACGTAAGCTTAAAATTAATTTAACTATTAAATCAGATTTTGATATTTTCTAAAAGCCAAAGATAAAAGGTACAATTTTGAAATCGAGAAAGAAAAATATATTTTACCAAAATGCCCCTCCCGACGACATTTCCAAAAGGAGCCCAATGGTTAAACTCAGCCCAAAGCCCGGCGGCCCAGTTAGAAACAGAACAATAGGAGGAGATTCATCAAAGCGCAGCCCTCGCCGTCGACGGTCACTCTCCCATTCTCAGGTGAATACTTTGCCCTTTGTTAGTTTTCTGTGTGAAAAGCATTCCAATGGCAGCTTATGAATGGATGTACAATATTGGTTCATCCTGTTCTTAGAGCTTCGATGCAAGTTCTAGTATTATCTCTCTAAAAAATTTCTTGTATGGTGTGTGAATTGTTATTTCTTTTTCTCTAATCGGTTGTGTGTGATTCTCTGAAGTTCAGAATGCAGAGATCGTTTAGTTTAGCCAGTCAGCTCGTGAAGAGGCGAGGTTTTTCGACGAATTCCGAGAAAATTGTGGCGTCTGTACTGTTCGAGAGGCTGCCTGTCGTGATTCCGAAGATTGACCCGGTGGTGTATGCATTTCAGGAGTTCAAGTAGGTTTTATTTCTTGTATTTCTTATTACGGTCTCTGTAAACTAAGAAATATTGGAAAATGAGGAAAAATGACGGAACAGGTGCTGTATCTTAACTTGATTTCCATCAGAATGGGGAATAATCTGGAATTGGAATTCGAACTACGTGGTTAATGTATTATAGCTATTATAAGGTCGCAACTTAAATCAAGCAACATCGGTATGGTGTACTCTCTGTGAAAACAGTTTGTCTGATATATCTGCTCGATTGTGATCAGGTTTAGGTGGCAACAACAATATCGGCGCCGATATCCTGATGAACTTTTAGATAAAGCTAATGCCAGGTATGTGATCTATTATTTCGTCTGGCTGTGTCAAGTATAGGATTTTGGATTATGAATTGTTTCAACTGTTCTTTCCTTTTGAACTCTTCTAATTCTTCTTAGGTTTCCATTCCATTGAAATAAGTTTTAACTGATTCTGATGCTCTATATTCCTGAATAGTGTTTTCATGTAAATGCTGCAATAAAATTAGGTCCGCTAACTGGTTCAACCTGATTTGTGAAACTGAAGTATTAACTCTAAGTACTTTTGGAACGGAGTCAAAAGCATCTAAAGAAAGTTACCAGTTATTGGTAATGTTAAACTTTATGACTTCATTGGAGCCTGCTATGTTGAAGCTTTTTGCTGGCAAATATTAGCGTTTCCTTTAGTAGTGAGTCGAGTTTCTTTGACAAGAGAAAAACATATGCCATAGCTTTTAGGTAGTCAAGTTATTGTACATTTGAATCATTTGCTTGGATTATTTAGGTGGAAAAAGACCACCATTGTGTTTTCCTTATCTTCCTGAGTTATCTTAGTTCATTTGGTTGTACACTGGATGACTGCGGTTACTGGAATCACCAATATATAACTATCGCTAGCGCAATTTTGTGTGCCCATAGCATAATATTTATTTTGACAAGGCAGCCTTAGCTCTTAGTGCCATCAATGTCATTTAGCTAATTTAATGGAGCTTATTGCGCAAAGACTGGATAAATTGCAAATATATGTTTTTTCTTTCTTTCGGCAATTGTATGACTTGAGCTGCTCTGGTAACAGGGGAAAAGGTGACTACCAAATTGATTATGTTCCAGCTCCACGGATTACTGAAGCTGACAAAACAAATGATAGGAAGTATGCAGTCTTTCTTCATAATTTTGTTTAGAATTGGTTGATTGAAGGTTTCCTTAGCGATGCGACCATCACTATTTAGGCAAAACAGATATGCAATCTATGAGCTCTTGTTCTTGTTCTTGTTCATGCTGAATTATCTTCATTGTTTTGACTTACGAGGCTATCCTCGTGTTTCTTCCTTTACTCTTCTAGATCATCAGTTTCCTCTTGCTTATGTTAGTTGACTACCATAAGTTGTGAGGTTATTCTTTTACAGTTGTGATTATGTAATGCTCTTGATTCATGTACAACACTTTTATATCCCAGTGTGGCTTCGGTGTCATGCATATCAAGAGCATCCTGCTACTTTTAGGCGCTTTCAACGCATTTACTTTAGTGTTCTTACAACTATAATACCACGGTTCTACTCGATTCATGATGATAAATGCAACTTGTTTTATTCCTGGGGAAACCTCTTTCATTTGATTCATAAGACAATTTTTGGATATCATGGTATATCCAATAAATGCTGAATTATCATCACTTGGTTACTATATCAGGCCATCGGCTTATTTCTTACTCTAGAATACAGCGTCTCTTTTTTTCCTCATTGTTGTTTTAGATAGCCTATCTGATCCAAGTCATTAATTTTCCAGATTCTAAGCTCGAAAGAGAGGTTTAAATTCTGCTTACTTGAATTGTCCCCTTTCCTTTTAGGTCACTGCAGAGAGCACTTGACAGAAGACTCTATCTTCTCCTCTATGGTGCCTCTATTGGGGCACCTGATAAGAAGCCTGTCTGGCACTTTCCAGAAAAAGCTTACGAGACCGAGGAGACATTACGTAAAGTGAGAATTGGCTGCCAACACTCTTCAGTTCTCTATTTCAACAATTCAACCCTTCTAACTTTCAAGTTCTGCAGTGTGCAGAGTCTGCCTTAGAGTCCGTACTTGGAGGTCTTTCTCATACATATTTTGT